GCTGTAAATGTTTGTAAATGATCTTTTGCTTAAAAAAAATGTTCTATATAGTTTCAAGCAGTATGTGATAGGAACTCTAAAGGTTGCTTCTAAGTTAAGCAATTGTTTAATTGCAACATGGATTCCATTTTGAGTGGAAAGACAGAACTGTTAATCTTCCAACAATAATGCCTCCCCCTCCCCTTTTCCATTAAGATGTGAGTGTGTGTATATACATTTCAAAGGCTCTGGGAAAAGTGAAGCCTTTTTATTTATGTTTTAATATGAGAAAACTAATAACTCTGTCAGTCTGAACTTTTATTAGATTTATAAAGCAGCCATAGTGCTGTTCAAAGTGTGATACCCATTAAAAATAACAGAAGATGAAGATAAAACAGGAACTGCAAAAGCAACACTAAAGTCACAAAATATATTCAAAGACTGCCATCTGTTGGTTAAATGTATTCTGCACACTTAATTTGGAAGAATTGTTAACCAATGGCAAGTTGACTTCAATCCACTGCAACCCTATGGAGAGCCCCCAAAGGATGGTTCTACATTGACATATCATGCGGGCCAGAACTGATGTGCAAAATGCTTCACCCAAGATGCAGTCATGTTAAATGTCTTTTCCTGGTTTAAACTCAATCAGTCTGCATTTTGTCACTGATCGCAGGCTGATCCTCACTCACACTGACCTAAATGGTCAATGTAGATGGGGCCAAAGTCATCCTGGCATCAACAGCCCTGCCCAGGTCTTGAAAAGTAATGGCTGTGGCTTCTTTGATTGAGTTCATCCATTTGGAAAGTAGTATTCCTCTTTTCCTGCTGCCCTCCACCTTACTAAGCATTATTGTCTTTTCTAGTGAATCATGTCTTCTCATGTTATGTCTAAAAGATAATAGTCTCACCTTGTCATGGTGAGGGGGCTTGCGTGTTCCAATGAACTTGTGAACGTAACTTTCAGAGTCATATACTCCCAGGAGGGGCCGCAGGAGAGGTTCCAGACCAAGTACAATCCGAAGATCTCAAGGTGGATCAGGCGGAAGACAACATGGCACATGATACAATGGCTGTGAATGTGGAAGAAGGCTGCAACAGATTGAGAAGCCACCGTCATTGTGTTAACCATGCCATTGGTTGGGACCCTTACTCTGTGAAGACTGTGTGTTGATCACTTGTGCACTGACCCCCACACATTTAAAAAAAGCTCACCCACAGGCATCTTTCAAGCTGACACTTGGAAGGCCATCATAACTCAGACAACAAAGTATCGCCTAAGTAAGTAAAGTAAGAGTCTCAGCTTAATCAACTTGGTTTTTACAGAGTTTAGTTCCGATTAGTTCTCAGATCCATTTATTATTTTGGCAGCACCCTGTAATGACATCAGAAGTGCCTGTGCAATGAAGTGATCTCTGCTCCTTCTTCCTGATTGCGTAGGCATCTCAGCCAATGTCAGAATGGGACACCTGCTTTATTAGGGACAAGGCTTGCCTTCCTTCTTCATAATGAATGTGTGAGCATCAGATTCAAATGTACACAGAGGTTCCCATAATGGCCAGCAACTCTCACAAAACTTCATGGTTAGTTAGGAGTAGTGACATGGAGGAGGTAAGTTGTGCACCATCCCACAGGAGTAACGACATTTCCCAGCCATGTAAACAATGATCGTAGGGCTGCTCTGGGGCATATTTACACTGAGTTAAACTTCCCAATATAGATGAACCCTTAATGGTAAACCCAATAAAGCTATGTTTTGACTGTTGGTCCAGTGCCATGAGAGAAAAATATCTTTCAGCTGTAGATATTGCTTAAGGTAGCCTTTGTTAAATTTACCTACATGACCTATCCAGATCTTGTGAAATGAGTTGGTGTTAATTAGAATGAAGCCACATCCTTTGTCCTAATGGAAGTTCCAGCCCCAAGCAAGATGTTAGTAACTCAAACTAGGGAAAGGGGGAAATGATATCAAAATCATTTCCATGTTTCATAAAGATGTTCATGATGAGGAAGAGTCTGCAGAATGTGAAACCAAGTTCATTGGGAATTGTAGATTATTTTTAAATCTCTCCCAAACTATTTTGTTGAAATCAAATCCTGCCACCAGAAAATGCAAAAATGGCTCTGGGTGGGTTCAGGTGGGTCAAATGTTGCTGAAAGTTATGATAGTCATACTTGTAGTTTGTGACTTTATTTTGTGATGCTTCCCTCATCCTGACGAACTGCAGGGAGACAACCCACACTTTTCCACTGCTTTCAGCAAGTCTTGAAAAGAAGCAGGAGTTGATGGTGCCTGTCTGGATGTGGATATGGTGTCATCTTGGTTCTTATCCTTTACCAGTCTGAATCTGCTTTCTACCAGTGTTTGTAATTTCAAAATAGAGTTGGCCTCCCATTTCCACAGATTCTGTACCAACAGATTCAACCTTCCATGATTTTAAAATATTAGAAACAAATTCCAAATTAATATTGTACTTGATATAAGGGGCATTTTAGTACACAATTGAAAGCTATGGATTTTTGGACAGTCTGGAACCAAACCTTAGTGAATACTAAGGTCCCACTGTACAAAAGTCAAGGTTATTGCCTTTCCTGTTCCCAGTGATTCTAGGGTCTATTCAAGTTTACTTAGTCCTAGTGTGTGCAGGTTCTCAGAAAATGAACTCAGTTCCACCAGCCTGTGTTAATTCCACCGAGATGTGGTACAATTTGCTCAGTCAAACCTTCTCCAAGTTAAGGGATTCCCTCTCCAGTTATTTCCCCAGAAGTTTAATCCTCAAATATGAATACTTTTATTCATTCAGTTATTAACTTTATTACTGTATTTACACTGTATTCGGTTCCCATTCCATACTGTGTTTGAGACGCTGGTATGATTACTTATTACAATGGTGAAAACATTGGCTGGTTACTACTGTTCAATCATTGTTTGCTACTTTCATTGAGAGGAGGGAAGAATCTTCGGATTGGTAAATGAATGGCATAAAACTTTTTTAAATACTGTCTCTAAGCCCTGAATACTCTTTTTAGTCTGTTAGTGCAAATGGATTAATTCAGTGAGATTTGGCTTTGTGTTGACTCACATTCAATAACGCACTCAATGGATTAATGCTATTTGACTAATTAACCACTTTATCACATGGGTAAATTGACTTCTTTCTCCTCTTTGGGGACATGACACAGGCCACAGCCCCTCCTTATTGATGGCCGAAGTGGCAGATAAACGTCACAAGACACTTCCTCACCAACAACAGGAGGTAAGTTGTGTTTTGGGTAGCACCAATGGAGCTATCTGTGTTTTTCATGCCTCCCCCCCCCATCTGATGGGGGAAAGGGAAATGCAGCAACACACACTGCCACCCTTTCCCCTGTCTGATGGGGGACAGGGACGGGGCCCACACACCTTGTTCTGATGCCCCCATGTGATGGGGAAAGAAGGGAAGGTATGCAGGTCACCGTGAGGTGCCACACACACCTTCCCTTCACCAGTGAAATGGAACTAGGAGCCCATTAGTATGATGAGGTCCTAATAAGTTCCAAGTATAAAAGCCCCTCTAAAAGGAATTCTCAGAAATAGACTTAAAACAGAGGTGTTGGTTTATGTGAAATCTCTTGCTGATTAAATGTGTGAGTTCTAAGAGGAAACATTTTCCTTCTCTTTCATTTCTATCAATGAAGCCAAAAAGAAAACAGTAATACAATGACTGGCATGCTGTTCAGCAGTTATGAGACTGTAAATGGGGCATACAATTTTGGACCAATATACACTGACCATTCAAACCAGTATTGAAAAAAGTAGTTTTGTTGTGTAGATGATAACATAGGAAATTCTGGAACCAGTTTGAGACCTGGATGGTGAGTGCACAAACCACAGAGCACTGATATGCATTAGGGATTTTTCCCCGAGCACTTTTGTGGGTGTTTATTGTCTGTCCGCCACAGTAGGTAGCTGTGAAGGTAACTTTTAAGTGTATTAAATGGCTAGTATAGATGTGGCCTTAGTTAATGTTGGGGGTGAACAATTATGGTTGTTAGTGACCAAATGTAACCCTCCCCAAACCCCCAAAACTTACTTTTAGAGCTTGATAGTGCCTTAATCAAAAGATTCCCAAGGCACTGCAGACTGGGACACTGGGAAATGACATCCACCAAATGAGAGGATGACTTACTAATGGATAGGGCTGGGCGGTTTCGTTTCGTTAATTCGTAATTCGTTAAAAATTCGTTATTTTTTTATAATGAAGTGATAACGAACCATTCTGGAGCAACTTAAAAACGAAACAAATTTTTAAATTCGTTTCGTAAATGCTTCGGATGCGTTATGTATTCGTTTCGTTATCGGTTTGAGGTCGTTTCATTATTATTTCCGCATGTCTGGGGCAAGTTTTATAGTTGTTTTTTGTTTAATTAGTGAAAAAAAATTATAATATCACACCAACAGTCAACAACAGAGGGAGAGGGAAGCTTCAGAAGTTCCCCCTGTCCCATTTGGAGGTTTTTTAGCGTATTGCGCGGTCGCGTCCGCCATTAACGAATCGATTCGTTATTGTTTCATATTTGTTTCGTTAATGTTTCGTAATTTTTAAAACATTTATGAAATTTCGTAAATATCAAACTTTTTAAAAGAAAAAATTCGGAATTCTTTTAAATATCGAAACGCAAAAACCCCCAAAAAACGAATCGATTTTAGAAACAAATTTTTCCGTTGTTACCCAGGCCTACTAATGGATCCTGAGGGGTCTCTCCAGCTGCTGCTTCTCAATGTGCCCTGAGAATGGTAGAGCACTGTAAATGTCATTTTGCAGTGCCTCAATTGTAGAAGTGGAGAAACCTTTTGAATGGGGCCCTGCCAGTATGCAAAAGGAAAGATTTGATGGTGAAGTGGTCAGACATAAATACAATGGCTAATCATCAGTGTAGTTCTGATTGAGGTGCAGAATCTCAGCCCCCGTTTTCTGGGTAGATTAGTGGAGAGATGGGGAAACTTCTCTTTCTTCCAACAAATACATGCAGCAACTGAGATGCATATCACAATCCTATACACAGTTGCTAAGCCTGGTTAGCATAGTAACATAAATTGCATAGTTGCATAAAAGTACAGTTGTCTTTTGAAGTCCAGAATAGGAAATTCTGCAAAAGGCTTATCACATAGACTCCTATCTTCAATGTAGGCAGAGGATTTTATCATGAATGTAATTCAGTCTGGCTAAACAGTTTAAGACCATTTTTAAAAGAGCTGAGATAAGCAAGAAACAGAAAGTCTTTCTTTCAACATAGTTGCTTAGATCAAGCTTTAAGAAAAATATTGGATTTTTAAAATCATTATCATCTAGTCAAAGATGGGAAGTCTTTGTACATACTCCATGTGCTAGATTTAGAGCTCATCTGCATTTGCATTATATATATGTTGATACTTATGAAACGATGTGTTGTGCTTATTTATTATACAAAAGTTACAAATGGTCTTGAATTCCTCTACATCAAATACATTTGCGATGGAAACAGATGAAAGAGTTGTATTATGATTTCTGAGAAATGTATAAAAATAGCAAGATGACACAATTCAGCATGGTGTTTTGAGTCCAGTTATTACAGAATATGCATGATTAACTCCATATATTATTAGAGAGATATACAAAATAAAACATATTAATTTCAAGCCTTTATGCTTTAAACTTTGATTTTTCAAAATATGCCATACCTCCATATGGTATGATGTCGCCCAGGATTCCCTATCATGGTTTATATTATGTAACTTTATGAAGTTACATAGCACACAGAGAAACTCCGTAACTGAAGATGTATGAAGGACATTGGTAAGCCCATTGAGCATGATCCTTTTGTGCAATGGTCCCAATATGCATTATTTGACTGGCTCCTTTTCATAGTAATCTAACAGCAGCCCCTTACCATTTAGGAAAGTTTGCGGTTATACATACAGATTACCTTAAACTAAAAGGTAAAGGTTTCCCCTGACATTAAGTCTAGTTGTGTCCGACTTTGGGGGTTGGTGCTCATCTCCATTTCTAAGCCGAAGAGCCAGCATTGTCCATAGACACCTCCTAGCGCATGTGGCCAGAATGAGTGCATGGAGCACCGTTACCTTCCCACCGAAGCTGTACTTATTGATCTGCTCTCATTTGCATGTTTTCAAACTACTAGGAGCTGGGCCTAAAAGGTAGCCCATGCTGCTGCCCGGACTTGAACCGCCAACCTTTGGTCAGCAAGTTCAGCAGCTCAGCGGTTTATCCCGCTCTGCCACCAGGAAGCCCTTAAACTAGGACTAAGCAAAAGTGGCAAAAATAGTGCCATGGTTTATACTTTGCATAGTCACTCCATAAATATATTTAAGGGTGGATACTATTAATTAGAACAATGTAAAGATGCCATTCTGACTCAAAATCAGTCCCCAGTCTGTAAGCTCCTTGGTAAAGCTATGATAATGGCAGTATTAATGTTTCTTCACAACAATAAGTAAAACACTGAAGATCTCTTGACTCCACAAGTACCATACTGAAAGAAAGGAAACTGAAAAATCTATCATGGTATCAATAGGTTAAATAATTATAAAAGCCCAAAGATTTCTGGAACTGTACTTTGCTAAAGTTAAAAAGTGGAAGTATTCTGAAAAGTGATGAGGCGGTCCCACGGCAAAGCTTTTTCACAATGGTTTTGCTGGAGAACATGTTGGTATTTTTGCAGGTTTCTTGGGTCTGCTTCCCATTGTGTTGTCCTTCATAAAGGTCATACAAGTCTGAATATATTTATTGTGCAATGTCATAATAGAAGTTGCGCAGCCTCAATTCCACTGACGAAAATGTTGGCCGGTCATCAACACTGCAAAAAAGAAAGGCACATGTTTTTGTATAAAATGTACCATTTGTTCCCTTGCTCTTTATAGCCACATAAGCAAGACCTAATCTATTTTATTACAGGTTTATCACCAGCATTACTGAGCAAGGCTTTGAGTTGTCATGTAACAACTTCACTTACTGTGCACCAACAAATTTCTTATCAGATAACCTAATAGCAGTTTCCCAAGAGCAGCAGCAATGATGACTCATAGAAAGCTCACTTGAAAAAAAGTAATTGTTTGGAAACATTGAGGTTGGCTTTGAACAAATGTTGACTTTTATTTAATCTAAAACTAAAGTTAGGTAAAGCTTGAAAGAACTAGAGGTACGAGAGGAAAATACATAAATCCAGTTACTATCTTTGAGTAACAAAGCGCAAGCGTCCACTGTTGCCTCACCTCCATTACATGAAGCAAGGAGATAAAAATACAGTAAGAAGTGGCAGACCACAAGTTAAGTTTTAATAAGCTCCCTGGTGATCTCGGAGTGGAGCTAGAGACACATGTAGCATCTGAAGCCCTCATTTTTAAGTATTGTCTTTCAGAGAAATGCTCTAAGAAAACTCTACAAAGAGTTCTAGGTCACTGTAGGTTTTTAGGGGGTATATGGCCATGTTCTAGAACATGGCCATATAGCCCAAAAAACCTACAACAACCCAGTGATTCCAGCCATGAAAGCCTTCGACAATACATTTCTAGGCAGCTGAGAACAAATAAATATTTAACAAATAAAAAACCTTCCTCTATACTTTCAGATCTTCAGATGAGGCTTTGTGATGTTATGTTGGTGGATGCAGGTAACAGGGCTTTCTCTGTAGCAACACCTTGATTGAGGAATTCCTTACCTAAGGAAGTTAGATTGGCTGTATCTTTCAGGCTTTCAATGAGCAGCCAAAATAGTGTTGTTTCATAGTATTCAATATTTGAAACTGCTGTTTTAACTGCTTCAAACGTGGATTATAGGGTTGTTTTTATACTGCTTTTAGAAGTTTTTAAAGAGTACTTAAATCTATTTTATTTATTTAAAGAATACTTAAATGTGTCTAAGAGTTTTATCATTGTGATGTTTAAATTGCTTTTTATTTACTTATGGCTGGGAGGCACTACAGAAATGCTTACATAAATGATGTAATGCAGAAAAAGCAACAGCAGCAGAAAGAACACACAATAACAAAAAATCTAAGAATATTATAAAAGCCAATCAAACCAAAAGAGAATGCAAATCAACCAATGAAGGCCTTCCTAAGGTTGAAAACATCCGATTTCAGAAAAATCCAGATTGCAAATCCAAATTGCAGTGAATTGTAACTATGATTAATGCAAAGAAGACATCTTCATAACCAATGGTTTTCCCATCATTTCATCATCGTTTACGGTAATAAAAACAAAACAAAGAGTAGACAGAGAAAAACTGAAACAACTCCATGTATGTTAAGAAGAAACATTTGTATGATTTACTCACTTGTATGTCCAACACAGTTTCATTAATTCATAGACCTCGGGCAGGCAACCTGGAGGACATTCCATTCGGTCTCCTCTTTCAAGCATCTGAGCAACTTCTCCTCCTTTCATACCCTGCAAAATAGTGACCGATAAATAATACATATGTACACCATCAGGATAAAGGTCTTGGCCATAACTGATAGGAACATCCCAATTTATCCCCCCCCCCCCCCCGCCCACAGAGATATATTGTAATAGACAAAATACCTTAATGCAGGATTCTCCCCTCCCTCACCAGCTAGATAATATCCAGTGGTATTTCTAGGGGCCCTTCCACACAGTCCTATATCTCAGAATATCAAGGCAGAAAATCCCACAATATGTGCTTTGAACTGGGTTATCTGAGTCCACATTCAGATAATGTGGGATTTCCTGCCTTGATATTCTGGGATATAGGGCTTATGGAAGGGCCCTAGGAGTTAATAAGTAATAAAGAACAAAATAGAGTTACCTTGTATGGCTTTTGACCATATGAAAATGCCTCCCACATTAGGACACCAAAACTCCAAACATCGCTCTTGCTTGAAAATTTGAAGAAGTTCATGCATTCTGGAGCATACCACTTGACTGGCCATTTCCCATAACGTTCTGCCTAGAATAATGCCCAAAGTAACAATAATAAAAATAACTCCATAAAATTAACATAAAACCCAACAATAAGCTTTTAAAGCTAATCTCCCCCTGAATATTTAGGAGTTTACTCCCCTGCCTCTATGGTAAGGAGAAAAGAAAGGAGGTCAGCCACTACTGTAGTACGCTTTTGCTGGTGCAAAGAGCCAATGAAGTCATGAATAACAGGGAAGCTGCTCTAACTGGGAAGGGTAAAAGAATAATAATAAATAAACTTTATTAATGCTCCACCACCATCTCCTGGAGGGACTCGGGCGGCCCACAAAGCACTCAAAGGAGCAAACATGCAAAATACAAAAATTGCAGGAACCATAACGTAAACAAAACAGCCAACATAAATATCTCACTTCACAAAAACCGAGCAAAATCGATAAAATACAGCAATAGCTGCAGGAATAAACAACAGTAATCAATCTTAGTCATGTAAAGTGCTTGGTGAAATCTATGGGTCCTCACATATATTCATTAAAGGAAACTAAATATGGCCAAAGGCTTGTTGAAAAAGCCATGTCTTTAGGCTTGGAGTGTGGGGGCTAGCCTGATCTCCCTCGGGAGGGCAATGATGAAGGAGCCACCACCGAGAAGGCTTCAGAACCACCCATGGTGCTGAAGCTGCAACCATAATTTAGTGGTGGAGCAGCAGCATAACCTTGCACACTGAAAGCCCTTCTGCTTTTAAACAACATCCATATGTTGTATGTGTAGAATTTTTGCTTCTCCTGTTTAGTACCATGGTAGCGAGGCCCCTCATGAATTTCAAGAAGAGAAATTGCCTTAGCTCCCAAAGTGGCCCATATCCAATGGATGTAAAAACATAATTATACCAGCTGGTTCCAGCCCTTCCCAATGTGATGATTAGTATGTTTGTAACAATGCTTCACATGATACCATGTGGAATCTTCATTTACTAAATGGACAGAAGATTATCATATTGCAAGAGGTCTATGTATAGGTTTTCAAGAGAACATTTTCTTAACAATTGTTGTTTTCTCCCAAGGGACTTATATGTATTATCCTGTTCAGCTGGAAATGAATTAGAATAACATCACACCACAAGTGACAAATGGCAGGAAAGATGAGTCAATGCATGCATTTTACCTTGTAATAATCATTGGAGCCAAGAGCTTTAGAAAGTCCAAAATCACTGATTTTGGCATAATGTTGGGTAACCAGCAACACATTTCTTGCAGCTAGATCTCTATGCACAAAGTTGTTTTCTTCCAAATATTTCATCCCCATAGAAACTTGATGAACAAGCTCTATAATGTTCTTGTTGTCTGTGACATCTCTGAAAACACACACACACACAAGTGGGCCATGAGTAATACGAACTACATTTGCATTACTCCTTATTTCATTTTATAATTGCATTCCAAACTTTGATACAACTTTAACTGAATCCCTGTGTTTTATGTGGGCTGCTTCACAGAAACACTTTTCAGGTGTGCAAAGCAGCACACAAATACCTTTAAAAGGTAAAGGTCTCCCTTGACATTTAAGTCTAGTCATATCCAACTCTGGTGGGGGGGGGGTAGTGATCATCTCAATTTCTAAGATGGTGAGCCGGCGTTGTCCGAAGATGCCTTCAAGGTCTTGTGGCCAGCATGACTGCAAGTGGCGCCATTACCTTTTCGCTGGAGTGGTACCTATTGATCTACTCACAATTGCATGTTTTTGAACTGCTAGGCTGGCAGAAGCTGGGCTGAGCAGTGGGAGCTCATCCTATTCTCCAGATTTGAACTGCCAACCTTTCAGTCAACAAGTTCAGCAGCTCAGTAGTTTAACCTCCTGTGCTACTGGGGGCTCCATTACCATTGAATAAATGTGTGTCTACTAGGAATGGCAATAATATTCAGTTTTATTCTTTTCCTGGCAAAATAAATGAGTTTCCAGACACTTGGAAAACATAGTTGTTGCTATCAGGAAGAATAACAAAGAGGTGAGAATTTCAGTATTTGCCCACCCCACTAGCCGGCCTTGTCTACCTTGTAAAAGAATCTACAGATTATATCATATTTTTATGTATTAAATATGGTTGAGCTTAAGATATTGGTTATTCTACCATTTTCACAAGAGTCTTGTGTCTCGATCCCTTCAAATGACTATAGAACATTGCTCCAATAGAATACACTAGAAGTCTTAGGTATGTTCATGAAACATATTTAGAAAATTCTCATATATTAACAACATCTGTGTTCCCAATGTTTTTATAGATCATTTACTTTACAAATTTGTTCAACTTAGATTATACCAGTTTTACTTATTCATGTTCAAAATTCAGTAAATTATCGTAAGTTTATTTACTGAAGGACAAAAATGAAGTTCAACTTACTTGTGTTTTATCAAATACTTATTCAAGGGGCCAAGTTCAGCCATCTCCATGACCAACATCCAGGACTCAGCTTCGCAAATACCAATCATCCGGACAATATATGGGTTATCCAGTTGTTGCATAACATTTGCTTCTCTCAGCAATTCATCTTTTACAGAGGGATCATTACTTTCATTCTTGAGAATTTTAACAGCCACTACCTTTTTTCCCCTGCAAAGGAAAGTCCAGAGTAAGCATCTGTGTAGCATTATGTGTATTTCATTAATAGCATTTGCATAATCTACTTCATACTCTTTTTTGTAATCATGCTCATATACAACCCTTCCGATGAATAAATTATTTATTTATTTATTTATTTACCTTACTTATATACCGCTGTTCTCAGCCCGAAGGCGACTCACAGCGGTTCACAACAAATACGAACAGCAAAAATTCAGTGCTACAGTATAGAAACAGTTAACAACCTAACACATTACACAATTAATAAACAGTTACTACAATACCCATTCACTGTCGTCTCGTCATCAAAAACATGTTCCAGATTCGTCATCCATTGTTCCATTACATTACATTACATTACATTGCCTAATTCACAAAATACCCCCAGCCTGTAAAGGCCCCCTACATTAATATTTGCAGAGCCAAGGGTAGTCCACAAGCTACCTCATTCCTAGAAGAATGGAAGAAATGACCTTGGTGAATATTCCTCACCAATTCTAAAAGCTATTATCAAGACATCATATTAAAATAAAGGGGGGAAGTGCTATTTTTTCTTCCTGACCACCACAGTTTTTACATAGACTCATTTTTATGTACTTGGTGTGTCCAAAATATTCATGAAAAAATGTAGATGACCGAGTTAAAATGGGAATGAATGAATCCCAAGGAGTCCTAATCCCAAGGAAGAAACAACTATCAAACAACTTAAAAGTCAAAAACTCTTATGCTGCAGAAGAGATTCAAGACAGCAATCTGGGAAACCAGCTTGAAATCATCTGGATAAGAATCAAGGGAACTGGGACTCAAAAAGATGTCGTTGTAGGCATCTACTACAGACCCCCAAGCCAGGAGGAAGAACTTGATGAAGTCTTCTGCCAACAGTTGACCAAACAGGCACAGAAAAGAGATGTAGTAGTCATGGGCGATTTCAACTATCCCGATATTTGCTGGAAAACAAACTCGGCCAAGAGTACAGGTCCAACAAATTCCTCGCTTGCCTTGCAGACAATTTCATGGTCCAGAAGGTAGAAGAGGCAACAAGGGGATTGGCTACTCTTGATTTCATCCTAACAAATGCGGAGGACCTGATCGATGCGGTCGAAGTGGTCGGATCCTTAGGGGCAAGTGACCATGTGCTCCTGCAATTTGAGGTACAAAGGAAGGCCGAAACTAAGACAAGTCAAACCCGCATTTGGACTTTAGGAGAGCTGATTTCCAAAAAATGAAGGAAACACTGAGCAGCATTCCGTGGACACAGATACTAAAAGACAAGGGAGTTACGGATGGATGGGAATTTCTCAAGAGTGAAATACTCAAGGCGCAATTGCAAACCGTGCCAACAAAGAGAAAAAATAGGACAAGTGCAAAGAAGCCAGAATGGATGTCCAAAGAACTTCTAACTGTGCTAAGACACAAAAGAGACATGCACAAGAAGTGGAAAAAGGGAGAAATCACCAAAGAAGAATTCAAACAAATAGCCAACACCTGTAGGGAAAAGGTCCGCAAGGCTAAAGCAAAAAACGAGCTCAGACTTGCCAGGGACATTAAAAACAATAAAAAGGGCTTCTATTCTTATGTCAGTAGAAAAAGGAAAAACAAGGAGGCGATAGGACCTCTTCGAGGAGAAGATGGGGCAATGCTGACAGGGGATAGGGAAAAGGCAGAACTACTTAATGCCTTCTTTGCCTCGGTCTTCTCACAAAAAGAGAGTCTTCAACCTCAGCAAGATGGAGTGGATGAGGGATTGGAGGACATCCAACACCAAATTGGGAAAGAAGTCGTCCAGGAATACCTGGCCGCTCTTAATGAGTTCAAGTCCCCAGGGCCAGATCAACTACACCCCAGAGTATTGAAGGAACTAGCGGAAGTCATTTCGGAACCATTGGCAACCATCTTTGAGAGTTCTTGGAGAACGGGAGAAGTTCCAGCAGATTGGAGGAGGGCCAATGTGGTCCCAATCTTCAAGAAGGGAAAAAAGGATGACCCAAACAACTACCGTCCGGTCAGCCTCACGTCGATACCAGGCAAGATTCTGGAAAAGATTGTTAAGGAAGCGGTCTGCAAACACTTAGAAACAAATGCAGTCATCGCTAATAGTCAACATGGATTTATCAAAAACAAGTCATGCCAGACTAATCTGATCTCTTTTTCGATAGAGCTACAAGCTGGGTAGATGCGGGGAATGCCGTGGATGTAGCGTACCTGGATTTCAGTAAGGCCTTCGACGAAGGTCCCCCATGACCTTCTGGCAAGGAAACTAGTCCAATGTGGGCTAGGCAAAACTACGGTGAGGTGGATCTGTAATTGGTTAAGTGGACGAACCAGAGAGTGCTCACTAATGCTTCCTCTTCATCTTGGAAAGAAGTGACAAGTGGAGTGCCGCAGGGTTCCGTCCTGGGCCCGGTCCTGTTCAACATCTTTATTAATGACTTAGATGAAGGGCTAGAAGGCAGGATCATCAAGTTTGCAGACGACACCAAATTGGGAGGGATAGCCAATAGTCCAGAGGACAGGAGCAGAATTCAAAACGATCTTGACAGATTAGAGAGATGGGCCAAAACTAACAAAATGAAGTTCAACAGTGACAAATGCAAGATACTCCACTTTGGCAGAAAAAATGAAATGCAAAGATAAGAATGGGGGACAATGCCTGGCTCGAGAGCAGTACGTGTGAAAAAGATCTTGGAGTCCTCGTGGACAACAAGTTAAACTTGAGCCAACAATGTGATGTGGCGGCAAAAAAAGCCAATGGGATTTTGGCCTGCATCAATAGGAGCATAGTGTCTAGATCTAAGGAAGTAATGCTACCCCTCTATTCTGCTTTGGTTAGACCACATCTGGAATATTGTGTCCAATTCTGGGCGCCACAATTCAAGAGAGATATTGACAAGCTGGAATGTGTCCAGAGGAGGGCGACTAAAATGATCAAGGGTCTGGAGAACAAGCCCTATGAGGAGCGGCTTAGGGAACTGGGCATGTTTAGCCTGAAGAAGAGAAGGCTGAGAGGAGATATGATAGCCATGTATAAATATGTGAGAGGTAGCCACAGGGAGGAGGGAGCAAGCTTGTTTTCTGCTTCCTTGGAGACTAGAACACGGAACAATGGCTTCAAACTACAAGAGAGGAGATTCCATCTGAACATTAGGAAGAACTTCCTGATTGTGAGAGCCGTTCAGCAGTGGAACTCTCTGCCTCGGAGTGTGGTGGAGGCTCCTTCTTTGGAGGCTTTTAAAACAGAGGCTGGATGGCCATTTGTCAGGGGTGTTTGAATGCAATATTCCTGCTTCTTGGCAGGGGGTTGGACTGGATGGCCCATGAGGTCTCTTCCAACTCTTTGATTCTATGATTCTATGAGTCTATGATCATTTACGGAACCTGCTTCTTTTTAAGCACACATTGGACAAAGGATATCATATGAAGGTTTAACATTTTACATAGTGGTATCAAAAACAGAGAAAAAAAACAAGAATAAAATGTTGGAATATTAAGATAATACATTTCATAACTTACTTTTTCATTTCATAAGTGCCTTTTTTTACAGTGCCAAAATTACCAGAGCCAAGTTCCTGATCTTCCAGAATCAGCAAACTTCTGTCAAGGGTGACATTTTTAGCTTTCACTTCTTCTGGATCGGCATATGGACTTTCATAGACCTCTGTGTCCATAGGCAAAGCTTCCCTTTGATCACCTGCACATTGAACTGTAAAATTATATGAACTTGTCTTTTTGTCACCTCTATATTTCTATCCACACTGCCTTTGTTAATCTGAACTTCTAAACATTAGTGTTTTCTGAAACCTGTTGGTAGTTTTCAACAAGCATTCAGATTAGTGACCTCCTCAAATGAGGATTCTTCCTTTGGACACTGCCAAAATGTAACCAGGATGGAGCTTGACTGAGCCCATCACATGATGTAGGGCTATTTCCGGCAGGGTTCTGTCCCAGCTCCATCTTGACAGCATGTTCAGAGGCTGCCATGAGGACGTGGCTGACTATCTGTGTTCTCATTCAAGAAGCCCATGACAAAGCCGGGGGCAGAAGGGAAACACTATGTAATGTAAAAGGGCAATGTGGGGTGCTGCCTGACAGTTTCCCCCACTGTCCCCTGGCTTATGGACCACTGTCTGATGAGGTCCTTATTTATTATTATTTATTTCACAGTTTTGTATACCGAGCTTCTCAACCTCGTCGAGGGACTCAGCCCGGTTTACAGCCATAAAAACATATACATTCATTAAAATATCATATATCCTTATACATAACCTTTCAGTATTTACATAGATCATTCCCCAATTAGTTAGCAAGTCTCTTCCTCTTTCTTTGGCTTCTTGACATCTACCATTTTTTCAGAGACTTCCAGCATCTTCCCCGATTAATGTTTCTACACTTTTGTTATTTACATCCCACCCAATCTCAATCTTACTACCAAACTTAAGCTTACCAGATTTCTATTGTTTTGTTGGATGTTTAAAAAAGATTAGCTATTTCTAGCCATCTCTACTCCACATAGTATGAAGCTTAATGTTAGTAAATCCTGTGGAATAAAGTGGAATAATAGCAATGGTGAAAGTTAAGAGGTGTTTTAAAATGATAATCTAAAAAAACCAATTAATACAGCTATATGTACTGTCTAGCTGAGTGATATTACATTTGACTGGATATCCATTTGAATGGATAGGTCATTAATGTTATAATCAATGGTGCAGAACAAACTATTTTCGTTTTTGAACACTTTCACCAATTGCCGAGATTTAGCAAACATTTTGCTCTACTCTTACTAGCTTTTTATGATGTTAAATTGGAAAAGAATACATACAAGACTATATCAGTCTAATCAAGTGCTATCCAACACGCATCCATCACTATATGGAGGAGTCAATACCACAGCTGCTCCTACCCAGGCTCTATATTTTCAACTGGATTTTCTTGAATAATTTTAGTTCTTCAGAGTCAACACTTTTACAAGAGTGTTGTAATAATAGTGTTGTATAAGATTATCACCTCAAGTATTAGCCACCAACCTTTATTTAAAAAGCAACAAAAATCGTTATACTTTTCAAATCAAGGGAACAGTCAAAATAAGAAACTTAGGATTGAATTCAAACATTATAATAGCAACTAGAACGCAGCAGATGCCCATCTGACACATTTGAGGCAAAATGAGTTTTTAAATGTACAGTACGGAAGAGACTAACTGATCACAATAAAATATGCCACACAGGATTTAAGTTTACTTTCTGTACCACTAGCCCTACAGGGGAAGAGATAGGTAAAATTGAATCTATAGTGAAATAAATAAGCTCTTCCACTGCTCTAATAATATGCTAGGACCAGGCTGTAGCGCAGCTAGTTAGTAGCCAGCTGCATTAAATCACTACTGACCAAGAGGTCATGAGTTCGAAGCCAGCCTGGGGCGGAGTAAACTCCCGACCATTAATAGTCTAGTTTGCTGTTGACCTATGCAGCCCGAAAGACAGTTACATCTGTCAGGTAGGAAATCGTTTTATGCAGGGAGGCTAATTCAACTAATTTACGATGCCATAAAACTCTCCAGCAGCATGCAGGAAGTACTCCATCAAAGGACCCGGTGTCAGAAGTGGATGGTGAAGCAGCAGCTCCCCCGGTGGCCGGAACCGAGCACACCCTCATGAAGCCGGAAAAGCTGGAATGTTAAATTGCCTCTGTGTCCGTCTATATATGTTGTATGTCTAAATGACATTGAATGTTTGCCATGTATATGTGCATTGTAATCCACCCTGAGTCCACTGCAGGGTGAGATGGGCAGAATATAAATACTGCAAATAATAAATAAATAAATAGCAAGGGACAGCTTTTATTTATTGTCAAATGAAGTATCATTCAATACTAGAACTTAGATATAATTTCCTACCTCGCTTCCTTCGTAGAACATAGTCATTAAATAATGAAGAATCAGCATTTCGAACAGGAGCAGGGATAACTGGCTGAGGCACATAAAACAGATTTTTCTCTTAGTGCCATTTGTGACATGGGTAGGTTCAAGAGAAGAGAACTTGACAACATTTAAGCAATGACAGTTGTAGGGAGGAAGAAATGCATAAGAAAGGGAGCAAAGCTTACCTACACATTCAGGCTATAACCTACATATATGCCAGCAAAATAAGACACATACTGATAAAGCACAAACTTTCAGCATACACCACGAAGGTTCTGCAAATATTTCAGAGAACTTTAAGATGAAAGAATTACTGAATTATTTATAATTCTTTCTGCTAAAAAAGCTGCTCAGGGTTTTTTTTTCATAGAGTTATAAAAGTTACTTTTTTAGCTGTAAATCCCAGAATTCCTCAACAATGATGGCCATGCTAGTCAAAGGATTCTGGGAGTTAAAAGAGTCCAAACTTGGACCAACACTGATATCCGAACCTGCTGTAAGTGTTCACTGTTTTTTTATGGCCATAAAAACTAGTTCATTAACATACATGTCTATTGAAATAGTAATTTGGAGAGTGAGTTCAGGTTTACACATTTTTTAGTATTTGGAACTGCAGTAAATAACATAGATGCATTCATCAATTTTTCCTATTTTCTGGTGTCTCCTGTCACATTTAATACTTCATCACACTAGAGAATGAATCCACTTTAAATCTGGTTTCTGCATCCCTGCAGAATTCTGGGGTTTGTGGTTTAGTGAGGCTGTTAAAGGCTCCTCCCTAAACTACAAAACCCAGAATTCTGCTGGAGGCAGCAATCATTCTCTAGTGTGAATGGGACCTTAGCAACTTCTGTTCCAAGCCCTTGGTTTTATTTTTAGAATAAAACGTAACATTCAAAAAGCTTATTGACATATGCTGTTTTCTTCTTTGTGCAGACAGTTCTGTCACTTGATGGGTACAATCGCCAGGATAGTACAACCAGTGAAAAGAAAATTGTGTCTCTATATTGATGTGTATTCATCTAGTTCACTTATGTTGCGGGAAATGTATGCTCATTCCTGAACTGCCTGCATGTAGACAATTTATAAAAGAAAATATATTGTGGGAATCAGCTCTAAGCCTATGTTATAGGCAGACAAAGGGCAAAATAACAAACCAAGAAAACCCCCACACCATGTTAATAAAATACCATGTTAGTAGTGAGGTTGCAGCACAGTTAATGTCTGTGTTTTGCTATGTTATTGTTTGCAAATTCTGTTTTAAGAGGTATGCAGCTGAATTCATGCACTACTTCAGCCCCTTCCACACTGCCCTATATCCCAGGATGTGATCCCAGATTATCTGCTTATTCCAGATTATCTGGCAGTGGAGACACATATAATCCAGTTTAATACAGATAATCTGGGATAAGATCCTGGGATATAGGGCAGTGTAAATCCAGCCTCAGTTTATCATTAGAGAAACTATGATTTTGGAGAATTAAAAGAGAATCAGAGAATTAGACCATTCCTCTCTGGCCTCTCTTTTTCAAGGAGGCAAGTGGCAAGCTATACACATTGCTTGAAAACTAAAATACAGTAAACATGCAAATATAATACATAATATGCTTATTATAGTCTTACTGCACAAACCAAAAACCCCTGGAGTGAAGGATAAGAGCATGACCATGGTTATACATAATAGATGCACACACATACTATCATTTACAAAACATGCATGCATGTTTCATTTGCTTCATATCTCAATAATAATAATAATAATAATAATAATAATAATAATGTATTTCTAGATCACCTCTCTCCCAAAAGGGACTCAGAGACAGGCAAACATTCAGTGCCCTACAAAATGCAAACATCAGAAATAATACAAAATAATGCACAATAATGACAGTAAACTTATATTCCAGGATATGATCCCAGATTATCTGCAGAAATACTTAAATATGTATATCTGCAGAAATACCTACATCTGCAGAAATACCTAAACATAGAAATACTTAAATTTTCCTGCCAGTAGTGGTGCAGTATTTTGCAAAAAGAACAGAGTGGTAACTAATCCAAACCATGAGCTTCGCATATGACATATATACGTTGTACTCTGATATTTGCACCTGTTTAGGAAGATTCAAAAGTTCTGTTTTGAATAAAGCAGAGAAGCATGAAAATAGGAACCATGGGGTACAGCCCCTAATCTTTTCTTCCCTGAGGAGGAAGTGCAGCCTCATTCACGTAAGTAGAACTAAGAATAGCATAAACCAGTAATTCTTTCTAGTGGTATCACCGAAACCTGCTTATAATAAATTTCTACTATATGACGAATGAATATGGAGCCCCCAGTGGCGCAATGGATTAAACCCTTGTGCTGACAGGACTGCTGACCAATAGGTCAGTGGTTCAAATTCGGGGAGAGTGGGTTGAGCTCCCCCTCCCAGGTCCAGCTCCCCATGCGAGGACATGAGAGAAGACTTCTAGAAAGGTGGTAAAACATCAAACATCTGGGCATCACCTGGGCAACCTCTTTGCAGATGACAAATTCTCTCACACCAGAAGTGACTTGCAGTTTCTTGAGTTGCTCCTGACACCCACACAAAACTAAAAAACTATGAACATGAGTCACGTTCTTCCCTGCATGATTGTTTCATTCTGAGCATCTTTTCCCTTCTATTTTCTGGTGGTAACCTAACAGAAGCATGTATAGCTTCATTTATAAGATCAGCTTCAGCTTTTGCTGCAATTGTAAAATTTCATGTGAACAGAATTTATGAAAAAGAATCTATAAATGCCGTAAGTATGTTCTCTGAGCAAATTTGGAAAATATCAGTTTATTAGCAATGGCCAAGCTATCAGTTTATTAGCAATGGCCAAGATCCACAGGCATAATTAAAGGTAAAGGTAAACGTTTTCCCCTGACATGAAGTCCAGCCGTGTCCGACTCTGGGGTGTGGTCCTCATCTCAATTTCTAAGCCAAAGAGCCGGCGTTGTCCGTAGACACCTCCAAGGTCATGTGGCCAGCATGACTTCATGGAGCGCCGTTACCTTTCCGCCGGAGTGGTATGTATTGATCTACTCACATTTGCATGTTTTTGAACTGCTAGGTTGGCAGAAGCTGGGACTAACAGCGGAAGCTCATGCCGCTCCCTGGATTCGAATCTGCAACCTTTTGGTCAAAAAGCTCAGCAGCTCAGCGCTTTAACCCACTGCACCACCGGGGCCCCACAGGCATAATTATGAATTTGTAATTATATATCTCCTAACTTGACTCCTCAAACCAATTTAACAGAAGGATTATATTTTCAGCATTCTCTCACCATGGACCTCAAATAAAACAAGAAGTTGTGATAGAGATCGTGCATCTAATTGTTGCACCACAAAGCTCTGGTGGAAGTGGGCTGGAAAAGGCATCTCGCTAAATCCAACAAAACAGACCTCTGCAAGTCAATCTAGCTGATGCCTCTTAAACTAGGTTTGGGGAAAAATTATGATCGTGAAGAATGTATTGCATTGCAGCATTGCCTTGGACTTTCAAAACATATTGTAACACTCCATGTGGGTTTGGGGGTGGTCGTTATTACATGCACAAAAGGCCAATGGACAAATTTCTTCTTATTGTATTAGAATCTGCCCGAGACTGATTCTGAGCTGCCTGATGTCCCTGATCAGCTTGAAGCCAATCAAGATTGTTCAATATCACCAGTGTACTTATGGCAAGCTGAGTGACAAACAATACAACCATGCCCAATGCTTTAAATTATTCCACCCCATGCAGAATAGAGGACTGTGTCAATGTTTAGTATTCCTGGTTCCATTCTATGACTGATTCCATTCCATGATACATGATAAAGTTAGAAGCTCTGTGTTAATGATAGCTGAAGAGTTGTTGGATGTGTGTGACGCGATTCATTAGGTTTGGAAAATCATGGTTGGAATATTGTACAACCTTTCACTCAACATTAATTTGCATGCTTTAAACTAAGTAGCAAAAGTACTAAGTAGCCCGGTAACTGATGTGTATGGAAAAAAGATGGTGGATTACATGAAAATATACACCCCAGCTATCCTTTGCTACATGATCAAAGCTGAGACTACACAGATTACACAGAAAAAGTACCGAATCCATCTTGGGAAAATGCTAGAGTAAAAGGAGACCCTTCTTATCCCAGGTTTCACTAATTATAGCAAGAAGAAATGAAGGTCTGATTTGGATGTTCGTGAACATCATGTGTCAAGTCAGGTCATTTTCATTCTCCTCTAGAATGAAGCCATGGCTGGCAATTAGAACTGACTCTATCCCTTGTCCTGGATATTATAAATGTCTATGTGACTGAGTAGTCCAATTCCATCTTCCACAAATCATTTCCTCCATTAAGACCACATATAAATATTCAGATGCTATCATCCTGCTGTAGCTCACAATAGAGAATTAGTATGTGTAAGTAAGAGTAAGAGGCGCTCAGCTGCTGGCTCACTCTGGGCCTGCCTGCACACCCCACCACACACGCCCTGCCAAACTCTCCGAGAATGCATGTGTGGTGGGGTGTGCAAACAGGCCGGGAAAGTGTGCGCTCCTGCCAGTGCCTGCAGTTGAACACCTCTTACTCTAAAGTAAGAGGCGCTCAGCTGCAAGCCCGCTCCAGGCCTGTCTGCACATCCCACTACACATGGCCCACCACCACACCCACCTAGAGTGCGTGTGTGGTGGGATGTTCAGGCAGGCCCAGAGCGCACCTGCAGCTGAGTTCCGGGCCTGTGTGCCTGCATGACCCACCAGACACACATTCTCTTTCCAAGGCATGGAGGCAAGTTCAAAAACACACAAAAGCAGGCTGCAAGGCAGGCTTTCATGTCGAGCAGAATTTCGTGTGGGAAGGGGCCTTTCTGTTTCATGCTTCCGAATAATTGGAAGACATGAAAGAAACGGTAGAAAGGTGGGAATGAATTTCGCGCACATATCTAATAATTGTTAAGAGTTGGAGTCTCTGTCTGTTGTCCAGAGCATCATGATACTGTACTATCACTCAGCAGAGCTGGGAAATCACCACTTACAAAATATGTTTTTGACCTGCTTCCAAATCATCTACATGTGCTGAGAATGCAGATTCTCAGATCTGGTCAGTTAATATAAAACTAGCATTAATCCCTAAAACTTGTGACGGGGGAAGGACAGAATAGCAGATAAATACTACACCTCAGTTTTAAAAAGTGAGACCTAATTTTAAAATTACCATCTAGCTAACTTTTAATACAGTAATACAGTCAGCCTTCCATATTTGTGGGTTCAACTTTTGCAGATTTGACCAGAGTTGTGCTTGAGGACCAAGATATTGATTCTAGTAAAGAAGACAGCATTTTTTTTACATTCACAGTTTTCCCATTTTTATTGGAGTCTTGCATCCATAATCCCAGAAAATAGAAAGGGTCAACTGTAATACATATATTATATCACTGCCAGAAAATAACAGGTTGCAAAATTTTATTGTATGAACAAGTTAGTTATAACTAAGTTAAAACCCATTTATTTTACTTGGTCTGTTCTAAGCAACCCAATTTCCTTATGATTTTTTTAAAAATAAACAAAAACCATGTGTTAGTGCTACAAACTAAGGTAAGAGGTGAAAGCAGTTGAAAATATGCAGAGCGGATTAGCAACAAAGCACAAAGTCAAACCATCAAAAGAGATGTGAGCAAGCTAAGTGAGAGTTTTCCCACACATCTATATATTAATGTTTTTATGCACCTTTTGGCCTCCTGGCTTTGGGAAAGTGTATGATTTGAGTCTGGTGATAATTCCACCTGTTGACCAACTCTAGAAACCATAAAGGATATCAAAAGGATAAATAAGTGTCTCAGGAAAAATATTAGAAAGAATTTAACACATACCGGTTTCCTTTTATCTTCTACAACAGTGGTTTCTAAACTTTCCACCAAGAATATAATTTATTTGCATTTTGTAATGTGGGTTCTTTTGAATATTTCTTCACAATTTGCATGAAGAGACCTCCCCTTTTCCCAGTCAATTGAATCAGTTCTTCAATCTTTAACACCAATTGTGCAGATGAGCATTGAGCAGCAATCATCTGAAAACCATTGGGTTTGGTCTCACAATTATGAACTAAAGCTTATCATTTCAGGGTCTCTGGTTTATGGTCTTGGTACAATCATAAGAGGTGCATGTACACTTAATGCAGTTTGTCCCCACTTTAATTGCCATGGCTCAATGCTACAGAATTATGGGATTCACAGTTTGGGGAGGTACCGGCTCTTTCACATAGAAGGCTTCCATGATTCCATTGCACTGAAGTCAAACTGCATTAATTCTACAGTATACATGTACCTCTTGTGACTGGACCAAGACAATAAACCAGAGACACCGTTGCTTTACCTCTGGATTCTGAAGTTCAAACCTGATTTGAAGCAAATGTGTTCTTTTGGTGTGTGTGTGTTTAAATAAACAACAACACAAGAACATATGTGTCAATAAATATAACTGGATAGAGAAAGTGATTACTTTCCTAACCATTTTTGGAGGTGAAACATCTGAAACTTGGAAGCCGAATATTTGAAGTCTTTGCATTTACATTTTATGGTATGCACTACTGAAAGCCAAAGTGAGTTACAAAACACTCATATACACCTTCTTCAGTTAGCTCATCCACACAAGTAAGCCCCTGCAATAGTGGCTATTTTTTTTTAAGGTCACAGTGATATTCTCAATTGTTAAGCATAAAAACCACCTGTTTTTGAAAAACAGAAATTGAGCTTTAATTTTGTACCCCTTGAAGGGTACCTGAGGCAGAAAACGGTGCTCTAGACCAGTCGTCCCCAACCCTTTTTTAGCCAGGGAGCACTTGACCAGGGATCACTCTCCAACATTAGTGCCAAAAGGTTACAAATACGTTTTTGCTCAACTTTAGATTCAGTTTGATTACTTGTGCGGCTGATTCAGAAAATAGCATTGGATAGACCACATCAGCTCTAGTTTCTGAAACAGAACATATGCTATCCAGTAGTCACCATTTGCTCACCCACAGAAAAACGTATTTAATAATCGAGAGCTGATGTGGTAGCAGTAATCTTTTATGGGTAGTCAGTCTCTCCCCTCCCAATAGTCCTGTTGCCTTGGCACTATAAGAGGGTTTTGCGAGACCATTCTTTCTCATTGCCACATGGTTTTGAGGCAACGGTGAAATATTGGTGAGGCTGCGGACCATATTTTCATTCTTGTGGACCACTGCTGGTCCATGGACCACAGGTTGGGAACCACTGCTATAGATCCACTGAAGTTGATGAACCTGGCTTTAAGCAAAGTTTCCATGATTTTCTCTCCTGCCTCAGTCTGTGTGGCTTCAGTACTTCCAAATGTATTGAAATTGCTTGTGCTGCTCAATTTATAAGGGAAGACCAAGGAATTATAACTTTATATTTTGTTTCAAATGAATAAGACACCTGAACTAGGTTGTTCTGAAAACAAAGTCAGTTTTTCCTTATCTCAGAAAATTAAGACAACTGTAGATAGCTGTACCATTACAACACAACCAGTATCAAGTTTGGTAAACTATTTTTACACAACTTCATGTTCAGTAATATTTAAAGGCAGTGGTTGTTTTTTTAAAAAAATCCATATAACACAAATTAATTTTTCCAACTTTTAAGAAAATTATAAACATTTACAATTCAAAAAGTATTCAAAGAGTAATAAACAACTTGAGACTTCATAATGCTACAAAAAGTAATGATTACTGCTTTTCTCCCAGTATATTTTCTTACCTTATTACTTGGACGTTTAGGAAGTGCTGGTGTACTGCCAAAATCAAATTGTCCTATGACAATGAAATATGTTTGTTAATAGAAATCTATCAGCAATTGTTTTATCAGGATAGGTTTCCAGGAGAAAAGTCAGGTTAAGAAAAAAAAAACTTCCTTTATGGAGAAGATATACAAGGATCTCCGGCATGAACTTATTGAAGTTCATGTAGTCAGTAAACTAAAATAAACAAAGATGGACTTTTCTTTCATTAACTGTAGTTGCGAAATGCTGTTAAATAAGTCTAACTATGAACCTATCTAGTTATCTATCCCTAAAAAGGGAAATTCACCCTGAGAGAGTTATGATGGAGAAAAGGTGTCTCAACTGAAGCTTTATCACCAATCCTTGTTTCCACAATAAGCCACATTTAAAAAAAAATCCATTATCACAGGACAGAAAGTGAGGTGAAATCATTTGAACAGGAGCCCATACAGCAAAACAAACAAAATCAAAGCTTTTTATATATACCCCTACCCAAAGAATGCATGCACGCATATCTGTCTATCTATCTATCTATCTATCTATCTATCTATCTATCTATCTATCTATCTATCTATCTATCTGGAGTTACACTTAAAAATGTCCCTGTTCCAACTTCAACATAAGAACAAACCTACAGAACCTATCTTCAGACCTCTCAAGATGCAGGTGACAGATGCAGGCAAAATGTCAGGAGAGAATGTTACCTTTATTGTCAAAGGTATCCCAGTTCCCAAATCCCCTTTGGATAATATCAGAAATATCCAAAGGGGATTTGGGAGCTGGGATACCTTTGACAATAAAGGTAGTTTTAAAGTATATGAAGCATTATATTATCTAATCTAGTCTTAAACTAATTTTGAGATAAAAAAATTATGTTGCATAATTAGGTTGATTCATATTTGGTCTTTTCCCATATAACAAAAAAGTGAAAATCTGTTTTCTAATCAATACTCTACTAAATTGAGAAAAGCTATATTAAACAATTACTATGGATTTTCAGATAATTATTTATCATATTCTAAGCAAAAGCTTCTCATAGATAAATAGGAAAGTCATAGTTTTAATACAATATGCTTTTTTCAGTGTTAGGGATTTTTGTAAAATGTCGAATGAATAATTTACAAAGATTAGTTTTTGGACTCTAGCCTGAGAATCCTTCAGTCAACATGTGTTAATTTTCTAGGCTGAATACAAAACAGAATGGTCTGTGGAAGCTGTTCCATGGCATCTATGTTCTCAGATGCATCATATGGTCAGGTAATGATGCACACAGCACATGAATTCCATCTTCCTTTAAAAATATTAGTCACTCACCATTTGTTAAGTGGAAATTTGGATTTGGAACTGGATCAGTGATTATTCTTAGAAGGCCATCTGCTTTGTAAGAATAATGTTCCACAAGCTGTCATGAAAAGAAAACAGCAAAATTAGACTATCAGAGCAGAGAAATCAATGCACACAGTTCATTAACAATGTACAGAACTAATAATAGTGACCCACAGTCAAAGATTTGGCTCCTATCAAACTATTTCAGATGTCTAGCTCCCAAAATGCTTTTTATATATTTAGGTAATATAGTGTGAGACAACTGTTCCAAGGGTTCTGAGCGCTACTTTTTAACTATCCTGAATTTTATTTCACTTACATTTAACTTTCACAGCACACCCTCCCACTTATCAGACAGCAAGAGATATTGATATTTAATATGGGGTGGGTAGGAGATAGTAACATTTTTTAGATGCCACTGCATGTACAAATATTCCATGGATGTTTAATTTTTTAGAAAAAATGATGTCAGGCTCTGCCTTATGCTTCTCTAGGTGGTAAAACAATATATGCAAAACAACTCGTAGCCTTCTTTCCCAGGATAGTCACATGGAACATCTCCATGCCAGAAAAATGTCACTTGTTTGCTCTCAATGCATTTGTTAAACAAAATTTGCAAAGCAAGTGGCATGCCTTTTGAATTTGTTGTTATTAGCTACCATCAAGTTGACGTTAACATTTAGCTACTCCATGAATGAGAGACCTCCAAGTCGCTCTTTCATCAACAGCCTTGCATAGATCTCGGTTCCTTTATTGAGTCTATCCATCTGTAATGTGGGCTCTTCTACTTTTCCTATGGCCTTTCACACTCCTTTATCTTTTTGTGAGTGAGAAGGTGGAAATCACAGATGGAAAGAATATTCACTATTATTCTTTTCCTAGCTGAAAAATAGGATTCCTGACACTCATTAAACTCAACTGGGAAGAATTCGACAATTGCAAGAGCAGTAGAAGAGTACTGTTTTCTGCCCCAAACTCTGCCATTTTGCACTCCTCAGTGGCTATTTTAGGGGAGAACTAAAACTCTTTTAATATTTTGCTTCAGGATTGTTTTGTTTAAGAATGCTGTGTTTTGTGCAGAAAACGGTGATTATAAGTATGGTGAAATGGTACATTTGAAATTCATGTAATAAAAGTAATAAAATATTACAATTCTCAGTTCTGAATGGTGTACATAGTATGCTAGGTGTAGAGACAACCTGATCTATAAAGTGCATCATAATTTAGGATTCCAATAGGGTTTCTATAGTAATTTTTGATAAGAAGACTATATGTCAAACCAAATATATAATACCTGATTTGGAGATAAAGCAAACATAGTGTTGGATGGAGGTAATGAAGCCAATCCTTCTTTCTCAGCCAGCCGCTATTATTCTAAATCAACAAAGTGTATTCTAGATATCAAAATTAGTTGTTATATTCCTTCAAATCAATGGTGGCTTATGACAAACTTATCATAGAGTTCTCTTTGCAAGATTTATTCAGTAGCGTGTACTGACTTACTCTTAGACTGAGCAAATGTAACTTGTGAATTACCTTGAGCAAGTTACATTTGCTCAGTCTAAGAGTAAGTCAGTACTCTTATACTTAGTCTTAGGGTGAGCTCAAGGTAATTCACTGGGTTTCTATGACTAAGCAGGAATTCAAAGCCTGGCTCAGGCATCATTATAACTATAGCTACATTTAGTATAATTGTAAAAGATGAAATACCTTTCAATTTGAAAATGCTCAGTACTTTTATACTGACTCAATACATACTATCTATCCATATCCATATCTATATCTATATCTATATCTATATCTATATCTAGTGAAACCAGATGTGAGTCTTAACTTTCCTTATGGCTTAATGCATTCCATAGAGGTCTAACAAAGATGCCGGAGCATTTTCATCATTATATTTCTATTTCATGAGTAACTTAGCTTCTATTCCAAGATAGCTGAAATCTATTTAACCACAAATGCAATCAAAATCAACTAAATTTTCTATGAAAATAGAATACTGAATAAAATATAGGAACTTGTGTGATTAAAACTATTATCTTGTTTTTTCCACTACATATAATGGCAAAATAGGTAATTGAGTAAATATGGGGTACCATATTTACTCAAGTCTATTGTGCCATTGAGTCTAATGCGCACTTCAAATTTCAAAACCCTGAAACCAAAATAAAAAAAATAAAAAAAGCATTTGCTGCCAAGTGCACAGCAGAAAAAACTGCACTCCGTAATTTGGCCATTAAAGTTGCTGCCTGCTTAGAATTCCTTCTTTAAAAACAATTGTGTTAGAACACTAAAGCTTTTACCAATGGAAAATAAACCTATGTTGTAGAATGAATCTACTTTAATGGCCTTGGTTCAATGCTATGGCATCACAGGGGCTGTAGTTTGAAATGGCTTTGAGCCTCCTTTGCCAAAGAATGCTGATGCCTCACCAAACAAATCCAGGGATTACACAGCATTGGACCATGGCAATTACATTTGAGATTATATCTCTCAAATAGGAGCTCCAGGTGCTTCTGAAGTAGCTTCCCCTTTTGCTTTGGCTCAGCACGAAAATTACCATATTACGCGAATCTAATGTGTACCCTAATTGTGGTGAGGGAATGGAGCCAAAAAAGGTGAGCATTAGATTTGAGTAAATACTGTAGTTTAGGTTGACATTCTGTTAGTGACACATGCACATATAAGTTGTGATATACATGAAGGGTGAACTATGAATTATTTCTCAAAAGACATGACACTGGAAGAGCCAGAGTTGCACATGTGGCAACACTGGGCATTTTGGTGACATAATGCAGCTGTATATTGTGCATCAGACCATCACCCAATCAATGAATGACATGTGTCACATAACAACTTGTTAGCATAAGTTATCTCTGCAAGCAGATAGTAATGCTACATTGAAAAGATGTTGGGCAGTTTTAGTTCATGAAAGAAGACTGATCCCCAAATATACTTTTTACATTCTCAATATATACAATAAATGACACCTGGACACTTGACAGACCTGGCAGAGAGTATCAAATTTCTTTCCATCTGGGATCGAGAGCTTTCCCTTCTTGTCTTTATCAATGCGATAATGTAGAACCTTTCCTTCATTGAGGAGGCAGAGAGCAAAAGATCCATTGTTATCTCTTTCCCTGATCCTGTAAAATATAAAAAAGGTTTAAAAATCAAATAGAATAGTGATTTGTCCCAACAATAACAGTTTTTTTTTCGCCACTGATTATCATTGACTGTACCATTGGTCTTCCATTTCCACAGATTCTGTATTGAGAGGTTCAACTATTCATAATTTGAATTTTTTAAAAAAATCGAAACAGCAAACCTTGATTTTGCCATTCTATAGAGCAGACATTTCACATGCCATTTTATGTAGTGGAGCGAGCCTCCACCTATTTTGGTACCTACAGGGAGAACCCCAGTGGATACCAAGGACTGATATTTTCCATTCTGCATTCTTCTGGATTACCTACATTAACCATCATTTGTGTAATAGCTGCTGGAGAGCACTGAAGCATATAACCCAATGACACCTTCCTTTTATATTAAAAATCAACAGAAGGGGTAGAAGATGAGGGCAAAACAGTGATTTGAATTAAGTTGTGTAGCAGTGCACTCTGAATAGTAAAATATATTCACTGTGATTCTCACTTCCACAGTTCTGATGCAACATGAGATATTTTTCGGAATGCATACATTATTCAAAACAGATATTCTTTTACCATAAAAGAAGACATGTTTAGCCTCATAGACTCCTCAGAACAGCTAATAAAGCTCACAAATCCTCACTTTTGCATGTGCTGCTCAAAGATCTTCTAAATTATGTTCTTATTTTATTGTAACCACTATAAACTATATGCTCGTTTCTGTAAACTTTATAGAAGACATCAATCTTTAAATCCAAGGTTTCTTGTTGTTCCTCATTTGAAAAGAAACAAGACTAAAAAATGAGATTCGAACATGTAGAGGAAAGAAAATCTGAAAGGGAGGGGGGGGGGGGAACTGAGGCAGAACAACTAATATGATCTTGTCAAAATCTTTCCAAGAAACACAATTTAGTAGGATTTTCCAGTTCCTGAATTTCTAGTACTGGCCATTTCTAGACCCAGCTATAAATAAGACAAGGTAACTCCAAACAGAAGGAAGAAATGCAACACAGACGTTGACAACATGTGGTACAGTCAGATAAAAGATGAGTGGGGGAATTCCAAAAGATAGGATACAAGTGGAAAACTAGGAGTACTAATTTGTCCAAATAAAAAAACATCCTCTGTATCAAATTAGATGAAAAACAGCTCATATTTAGAATGCAGTCAGCCCTCCACATGCAGCCCTTCGTATGAATGTGGTCTGAATCCATATATTCAACCAACCATAACTAAAAAAATATTTGGGAAAAATATTCCCAAAAGTAAAGCTTGATTTTGCTGATGTGTAGACATACTTCGCTGTAGCCTCCTGCCATTTCACAGACTTTCAGGCTCTCTCTGGCACTTGTTCAAGTTGTTTACCATTCTATGTAAGGGACACTGTTTTAATACATTACAATATTTAATGGGACTTGAGCATCCACAGATTTTGGTATCCATGGGGTTTCTAGAACCAAACTCCAGCAGATACCAATGGCCAACTGTAGTTGGATTTATTTTTCAGAGAGACCTCAGTAAGTTTTCTCTGCATTTTAAATAACAACGTCTTCATGGAATCATATCCAGAATAAAGAAATTGAGATTTTAAAATAAATCAGTCATTTTAATCTGCCTTGACCCATTTTTTTACTTGCTATTGAATTAGTGGCAGCATATTGGTGTCATAAGGAACTCAATGAAGACCTTACAGAATTATATTTCTTAACTCTACAGGAAATACAGAAGCAATGACAAGGTAAAGATCTGGCACTCCAACAAATATGTCCGTTATCATAGCCTTCTGCATTTCCACTAGATGTAGCACTGCAGACATAAACATATTGATTGTATATAGTTATATACTGGCAATTTATAATAGGTATTAGGTAATTGGGGAAGTGTTTCTTTTGCTTTGCATTCAGGTTATCAAAATACCACTCCTCATTTAAAGTGGAATTAAACATAGAGGCTTGTGATTCCCTGAAGGTTTTCTTTCCATACACAGTGCTTTGCAAGTTCCAGAGAAATCTCTTTCCTTAGCCTTAACTTTTAAAGGTTTGGAATGAAGCCAGAGATTATGGCAATGAATCATGTGTGATAATCAGATTAGATATCTATACAGAATTGTTATTTCCCCTCTTACATCCAATGTTAGCTATGACATGGCAAAAAGGTTACTTGTGTATTGTTGAAAGCTTTCATAGCCAGAGTCACTGGGTTGTTGTAGGTTTTTCGGGTTGTATGGCCATGTTCTAGAAGCATTCTCTTCTGACATTTCACCTGCATCTATAGCAGGCATCCTCAGAGGTTGCCTCAGGAAACGTCAGGAGAGAATGCTTATAGAACATGGCCATACAGCCCGAAAAAACTACAACCCAAGGTTACTTGTGTTGACTGTTCTCTCGAACAGTCAAAGGAAGTTATATGTTTAGGCATCTGCCCTAAATGTCAATTCCAGAGGATGAGCATACAATGGTTGGGAAAATGTGTCCCTGCATGCACATGCAAGGTTGTATCTCTCTCTCTCTTGACCCCCCTCCCCCAGACTCCCCCTTTTTGACAGAAAAGTGACTTGACTTGTCCAAAAGACTCTGGGGAGATGATTCAGCTTTTTAAAAGGTTTTATGGTTTCCCTGTCTTGTTAAACAATTTAAAACTGTAAATGGTTTTCGAGCACTTTCTGTCTTTTTTTTCTTTGTGATGGTTTTTTTGTATAAAAATTCCAAGTTCAAGTAAGAGCAAAGTCTGTCCCAGGCAGCTTCACTTGGTCTAGATCTATTAAGCCATGGGGAAGTCTTTGTGGTACATACAAAGCAACCAACAAATACATAAAATTTGACTTTTAGATGTTTGAAAAGTGCCACTGTGAGTTAACATATTTGCTCTATAAAATCAGCCTGGCAAAACACAAATATAATTGTCTGTGCACATGAAGTGATGTGACAGTGAAAACATATTCCTGAAAAAAACTATGGGCAAGAAGCATTTTCAAAAGACGTAATAATTTGTGGCATGAATGAGGCAAAGAGCAATTGCATAATGGTGTGCTGCATGATGTAATCTGACTCTAAAGTAGTGTCTTCTGAACCCTTTTAAGCACTGTTTTCATTTAAAGAGGAAATGTCGGTGCTTTAGAATAAGACATAAATGCAAATAATTTACTGGCAGTGACTGATCTATAATTATTTTCCCCCAAAAACACAATGCAGTCATCAAAATTTCTACTTCCTTCTATGCTGGAGGCTGAGAGTTTTTGAACTCCATTTTGAAACTTTGTCTCTCAAAAAGGGTGTTGGATAAAATGGAAATAAAATTGTCCAAAAATCCCTCCCTATCATTTCATCATGTTTTCACCATGAAAAATGTGGAAAGTGTTAGAGTGCTCTCTTACATCTTCTCACTGCACATTCCACAGTTCTACCTTCTGTTTTCATTGCAACCACACTGTGTGTCAGAAAAGTAATGGTTTTACTATATGTTTAGTATAGTACTGAAACTATTTGATTGGAGCCCTTGGTAGTACAATGGGTTAAACCAGGGGTCCTCAAACTACGGCCTGTGGGTCAGACCCCCCCCCCACGCAGGGTGTGGAGAAGGGTGAGAGGCAGCAGGCAAAGCGGTTTTGGGGCCGCTTCGCCCGCCGTCTCCCTTGGCCCAGCCTGCTCTTCTCCTGCCTTTGGGACGTGGCCTCGCTGCATCCCGAAGGCAGGAGAAGGGAGGGAGCCAGCCAGTAAAGCAGCTTTTGGGATGCTTCACCCACTGCCTCCCTGGGGTCAGATCTGCTCTTCTCCTGCCTTTGGGATGCAGCCTCGCCTCATCCCGAAGGCAAGAGAAGGGAGGGAGGCAGCGGGCAAAGTGGCTTTGGGGCCACTTTGCCTGCCATCTCCTCAAGTTTATATTTGTTAAAATTGTTATTCATTTTAATTATTGTGTTGTTTTAAAGTGTTTTTTGGACTATAAATAAGATAGGTGTAGTGTGCATAGGAATTCATTCATGTTTTTTTTTCCAATTATAATCTGGCCCTCCAACAGTTTGACCTGGCCCTCTGTTTATAAAGTTTGAGGACCCCTGGGTTAAACCCTTGTGCCAGCAGGACTGAAGACTGCCAGGTTGCAGGCTCGAATCCAGGGAGAGCACGGATGAGCTTCCTCTATCAGCTTCAGCTCCCCATACAGGGACATCAGAGAAGCCTCCCACAAGGATGGTAAAACATCAACAGTAGGGCATCCCCTGGGCAACATCCTTGCAGACGGCCAATTAGCTCACACCAGAAGCAACTTGCAGTTTCTCAAGTCACTCCTGACACGAAAAAACCCTATTTGATTTAGATAAGTACTGATGTATTTATATTCCATCTTTCTTGTGCAGGACTCAATTCCTTTGCAAATTCCAAATCAGCACCTTTTTAAAAAACACAATATTAAAAAAAAAGTTGCCAAGAATTAGGAAGTACCCCGAACAACCCGAATGTATGCATGTTGTCAAAATATAATAAAGGGATATGGGGCTGCTATTGTTGGGGAAGGGGCTTAACTGGGGGGCCACATACCCATTGTGACCCTTACATCTGAAGCTGCTGGAGGAGGGTACCACTGACTACTTCTCTTTATTTTTGGGTATTTTATTTTTGGGTCCGATGCAACTCTCTTTTTCAAACCAGGAAGTGACTACATTTCCTGCTCCAGTTGCTACCTCATTTGATGGAAAGACTGTGCATGGCTAAAAAAAGAATAGATAAATGAGGCTCTAATGCCTGACACTGTAGCAAAGACCAATTGGCCAGTGCAGGGGAAAAGATTTTACGGGTGAATGCACCCTTAGTGGCCTACAAAAATGAATGCTGTTAAGGGGACCATGCCTGTATTAATAGGACTACTTAAGTAAGTATGTGCAACTAGAGGAAATGCCTGGCCCTACAGGTGCTTGCTGAACTGCAATCCCCATCATTCTTAACCATTTGTGATACTGTCTTGGGTTGATGGCATGTTCAGGCCCACAACATCTGAAAAGCCCAAATTTGGTTTTATTACTAATTTTTATGTCTGGGTAAGAAGTCATCTTACTATTATATTTTACATAAACAATAAGTAAATGAAAGGATTTTTCTCTTTTTCACTGCCATTCTGTTTTCTGAATTAGAATGTGCAAATAAGCTCTGCAACCAAATATTGCAGTCTATAGCACTGTATTCCTGGCCAGAGAGAGGGTGAATGTTGAGATGGCAGTTAATTTCAAAGGAGGCAGGTAAAGTATTTTAATTTCCAGAGAAAATATTTGGATATTATGTTTTGATTCATCACAATTCTAGAATTCATGAAACTGGGTTGTTGTGTGGTTTCCAGGCTGTATGGCTGTGCTCTAGCAGCATTTTCTTCTGACATTTTGCTTGTATCTGTGGCTAGCATCTTCAGATCTGATGCAGGTGAAACGTCAGAAGAAAATGCTGCTAGAACATGGTCATACAGCCTGGAAACCACAACCAGTGATTCTGGCCATGAAAACCTTCAACAATAAATTCATGTAACTGTTTTAGTGTACCACGGAATGCACTAAAGAAATTAGTGCTATCTGAACTTCAAATTTTCTTTCAACTAGGATTATTTATTTCCACTGAGATCAAAAGGCTTGAGACTATGCATTAACTCCTAGGATTTACTAAATGAGAGATTAAAACATAAATGGATGATCTGCGCCGGGAACTAGACAGGGGGAGTGTGTCCTTGTTGGTTCTGCTGGACCTCTCATCGGCCTTCGATACCGTCGACCACGGTATCCTCCTGGGACGCCTCGCGGGGATGGGCCTTGGGGTACTGCTTTGCAGTGGCTCCGGTCCTTCCTCGAGGGTCGTTCCCAGAAGGTGTCACTAGGGGACTACTGCTCGACTCCTCGGCCGTTGCACTGTGGGGTCCCGCAGGGTTCAGTACTGTCCCCTATGTTGTTTAACATATACATGAAGCCGTTGGGAGAGATCATCCGGAGTTTCGGGGTGCGGTGTCATCTGTACGCAGATGATGTCCAACTCTGTCACTCCTTTCCACCTGCTACTAAGAACGCTGTCCAGGTCCTGAACCGGTGCTTGGTCGCTGTCGGACTGGATGAGGAACAACAGATTGAAACTAAATCCAGACAAGACAGAGGTACTCCTGGTCAGTCGTAAGACCGAACAGGGTACGGGGTTACAGCCTGTGCTGGACGGGGTCACACTCCCCCTGAAAGCACAGGTACGCAGTCTGGGAGTTCTCCTAGACTCATCGCTGAGCCTGGAACCCCAGGTTTCGGCGGTGGTCAGTGGAGCTTTCGCACAGCTAAAACTTGTGCGCCATCTGCGTCCGTACCTTGGGAAGGCTGACTTGGCCATGGTAGTACACGCTTTGGTTACATCCCGTTTGGATTACTGCAACGCTCTCTACGTGGGGCTGCCTCTGAAGACTGCCCGGAAGTTGCAGTTAGTCCAACGCGCGGCAGCCAGATTACTAACGGGTGCTGGGTACAGGGAGCACACAACTCCTTTGTTGCACCAGCTCCACTGGCTGCCGATTAGCTTCCGAGCACAATTCAAAGTGCTGGTTTTGACCTACAAAGCCCTAAACGACTCTGGCCCTGTTTACCTGTCCGAACGGATTCTCCCCTACAAACCATCAAGGTCTTTAAGATCTTCCGGGGGGGGGCTGCTCTCGGTCCCACCACTGTCACAATCGTGGTTGGTGGGGACGAGAGACAGGGCCTTCTCGATGGTGGCCCCTCGGCTTTGGAATGCCCTCCCTCTGGAGATTAGAACTGCACCCTCCCTCCTGATGTTCAGAAAACTAACAAAGACCTGGCTTTGGGATCTGGCCTTTGATAACTGAGTCAATGTGGGTTTATATGGAAGGAGCACGACTAACTGTGAACTACGACTAATGTTCTGACGACCTGGCTTATATGTATCTGTGATGTTGATGATGTATACTGTATACTGTTCATTGAAATATGTTTTTAATGTTTTTTGATAATGCACTGTGTGTTGTAAAATTGTATTTGACACATGTTGTGAACCGAATCTGAGTCCCTCTCAAGGTGAGAAGATCGGTATAAAAAACCCCTAAATAAATAAATAAATAAATAAATACTTGAAGCAATCTTTTTGTCTCTTTTAGAAAAATGTTAAAATATAATCCATGATTCATTTAATAACATGACCCCTCTTTTCAATACATAACCATAATGAGAAAAAAGTGAACACATCTGATATTCACAAACAATGTATAAAGTCTGTGTGAACAAGTTGTGAATGTAGCTTTCACTGAATGCATGGATACTGCATTTCGATGCAAACAAAAACATGTCACAGGCTTTGGAACAGTTCAGAAAAATGAACACATCAGAAATTTTTCCTACTTTTCAGATTGTCATCTGTAACCTTTGGAAATTACAGGGGGAAATGTTTACTTACAAAAATTTTCCATTTGTCTTTGTCCCCAGATGGACCCGTTGCTCTGATTCCTCGCGAGATATCATCCCATGGAACCAGGGCATCTTCAAATGCGCTGTTGTTGCAATCAATTTCTCTAGCTGTGGTTTCTGACTAATAATTGCTTGCTCAAGGGCATGCCCCTGCACAGTGGACAAAATAGAGGAAAGCTATAAGATTAAAAAAAAAAAACAACCCAAAAGCTGAGCTAAGTTTTGAATGACTTAGGCACACTCAACATTTTGTATGGATAGCAATTGTGAAAGAAGTGGCTAAAGATAGGCTATGTGTGAGCTGCAGACTAAACGTTCCCACATATAAAACAGAAGACATAAATAGTTTAGATGGCCAATCATGCCTTTGGAGTCTTTTGGGGCACAACCTGACATTTTCAATATGTTTCCCCATGTGGTGATGGGGAGTGTAGGCATGTGTGCCCCACTGAGATCTGTGGGAGGGAAGAAAGTGATGCTTGGAACCTGTAACACAGCTCATTTCTCTTTTAGAGTTGCGCTGGTCCAACCACATTTGAGCTCATGATGTGAAAAGCAAAATATTAATTGAATCTGCATCTATTACAATCAAGTAAAGAAAGGATAGAATAAATGTCAGGACTTTATATATATACTGAAATGGGCAAGATAAACCAACAGATTTATGAAAAAGTAAGAAACATAGAAGAAATCATACTATTCAAAAATATTTGCTGAGTAACATCATAGTTATATAGGAAGTTTGGTTGCTGCATGGTGTAATAACAGAATTTCAAACAGTTTGGGTTAAAAAGAGATATAATGAGAAAAGTGGGTGAAGAAAGAAATAAGGAAGAAAAGGAATTATTGTTATGCAATATCATGGGCTACTTATATTTTCAATACTAGCACATAATAAAAAGTATGGTCCAAGATCTTGCTTTTTTCAGATGTAACTATGATGACAAAACTCATTAATATAGTTATGTCTAGAGATGTCATCTCCTTACCGCTGCAGATTGACAGCACCCAAATTAATTTTTTTCTTAGGCGATGAAGACTGGGATACTCAGATATGATCTCTGAAGTACATTCATGAGACACATGCAACAGGAAGTTGCTGCTAACATATAAGGTTGAACACTGTGAAAGCCATCCACTGCATGGCTATCAACCTCCTCCCAGTAGACTCAAATCAAGAACAAGCTTTAAGAGAACCACCACACCTCTTAATGTTCCCCCAACAACAGCAAGAGTATTTCTCTGGGCAGCTAAACCAGGAAATCCCAAATAGATGCCCCCCCCCCTCCAACAAGGGTCTGCCTCCAGGGGCAAACCAAGAATGGGTGACTTGGAAGTCCCTGAACAGACTCAGAAATGGAGTGGGGAAACCAAAAGGCAACGTGGCAAAATGGCATTAGAAGAAGTCTCCACTTTTTGTGACTGTGGAGCAGAAAAACAACTCTGCACATGTATGCTTGTCCATAATGCCCTGCCTCATGCACAGAGGAAGAATTGTTTAAAGCTACAGGCAATGCAGTCGCTGTTGCCCATTTTTGGTCTGAAATGATTTAGCCGTTTCCTCGATTTTATCAGTTTTATACTTATTTATGCAATATTTTTGATGTGAAATAAATAAATGAGAGACATTAAGAAGAGGCAGCTGGAGAGACCTATCAAGATACAACAAGAATTGCTTGTCTCAGGGCCCTTCCGCACAACCCTATATCCTAGAATATCAAGGAAGAAAATCCCACATTATCTGAGTGTGGACTCAGATCACCCAGTTCAAAGCAGATATTGTGGGATTTTCTTCCTTGATATTCTGGGATATAGGGCTGTGTGGAAGGGCCTTTAGTGTGGTATTTCCACATCTGAAGCGTCCCAAAAACTCCTTGGCTGCTGGCAGAAGAGATTGGTTTGGAGGTCACACTCATGTATTAATGATGATGAACATGAATTCCCATCAGTTAAAAATCTAGGGGACTTGTCTTTCATTTTTAGTCTTCTCCATACCTCTTTCTGTTCATCAGGTGCTAAAGGCAAAAAGGAGAGGGCAATTATTGAACAAACAAGGATAGACTTACCTGTAAGTTCCATGTTCGTTTGACATATTCCCTGATAAGATTCTCTTTTAAGTCTTCAAATTGACTGGTTTTTGGTTCCACTCCTGGTGGGCGATTACATGATTTTTTGAGCAGGCAAACAAGACCATCTACTTCATCTGAGTGGTAGTTAATGAGTTCTACAGGATTTCTGTGAGACTTTCCTCCTGTAATGGCATAAGAGCCATTAATTTCCCTTTCAATTGTGTAATGATAAACTTTACCATCATGAACCAGGGACAAAGCAAAGCCTCCAAGATAGTTTCGGCTCTGTCGCAGTAGATACAGTCCATTACTTAATCCAGATTGAATCAAATAATCCTCAGCTTCCTCACGAGTGATGTTACCAAAGAAGTAGGGGAGGTGGCTGATAGAATGAGAATTTGCCATTTTCCACTTAATTCTCTCCTTTTTGTAGAAATTATTTTATATCTGCAAAGAAAGAAGATGCATATGAGAATAAAATAAGACTATTGCTATTTTAATACATTCAGATACTTGATTAAATGGAAAAGAGAGTTCACTTATTAAGTCCACGGAAATAAATACCAACTTTATAACCTTTTTGCAGGCATAAAGGGAAGTACCACATAGGATGCAGTATCACATAGAATCAGATATCCACTTTTTCTGTATTTTAAGTCATAAAGTTAACCCTTGATGGAATCAAACCACAAAACTCATTGTCTGATTTAGGGCCAGTCTCTCTCTCTCTCTCTCTCTCTCTCTCTCATCCTACTTATTTCATAGGTTTTTTCTGAGGATAGTGAGGAAGGGAATTGTGTTATATTTACTAAAGGAAACACAAATCATTAATACAGTTAATAAATAAACACACACACATAATAATAATAATAATAATAATAATAATAATAATAATAATAATAATAATCTATCTTTCATAGTCTTGTTATAATTCAACCATGCTGGAGGAAGTGCTTTAGCCAAGATGTCTGCATATGTAAAATTATCAGCAGACAAATGACAGAAGTTGAAAGCTGCTTTCCTAAGACCACCCAGAAAGTTCATAGGTAGGGCAATGGGAAGAGCACTGAATCTGTTGTATTGTTTTATATGTTTTACTGTTTACATGCTTTAATTGTTTTACAAGGTAATGCGGTATGTTTATGTTATTTATACGATGAGGCATTTAATTTTTGCCATAGTTTGTAAAGCCGCTTTGAGTCCATCCCCTTCGGGGTGTGAAGGGTATGGTATAAAGTAAGCAAATAAATAAATATACTGTGACCAAACTGACCATACTAAGTCCAAGGCTGAATTCCAGAGATCTTGAAGCAGGGTTGGAAAAGACGTTGGCTTCACAATCTGGAAAACCTCTCCCAATGGTTCTATGGGTGGTTCTACCCTGATTTGCAGTCTTGGGGCCAATCCAGTGTGACATATAGCGGGTTGGCCCCAGGATGCTTCCCACAGTCCTGTCCCCCCCTCCCCTCCCCAAGCTGCTGCAGAGGCAGGAAGGAGTCCCAATCACCCAGTGGTGCAGAACAGTGGTGCAAAATGGGTCCTGCAAGAAACACATTGCTACAGTAAAGTTGGTTAAGGTGACAAGGGAGGGGACCAAAGAGGAATCACCTATCCTCTCCCATTCCCTGAACCCTGATCCAATATCACTGCAAACAATGGCTGGCTAGTAGGAACCATGTTGCAGTTGGAGACTTCTGTGAGACTGAAAATTGGAAGAGGTGGTAGCAGGTGCCATCCCATGACCACAGCCTACCCATGCCCAGGAAAAACAGGATGGCAATGAAAGTATTTGGAGCCAGTTCTGTTTCAGGCTATCCCCTGCCTTTGGTCAACACAGGACAAGGCCTGATCAAAGTGGCCTTGTCTTGACTCACCCCAGATCAGCTCTTGTGACATTTGGCCACTATGGAGCCTTTTTATGTATGTGTGTGTGTCAGGGGAGACTTGAGAAACTGAAAGTCGCTTCTGGTGTGAGAGAATTGGCTGTCTGCAAGGATGTTGCCCAGGGGATTCCCAGATGCTCCTTTTGGGAGGCTTATCTCATGTCCTCACATGGGAAGCTGACAGAGGGAGCTCAATCCACTCTCCCCAGATTTGAACTGCTGACCTGTCAGTCATGAGTCCTGCTGGCACAAGGGTTTAACCCATCTATGAAGTTGATCTGTAGACCTTCTGTATTTAAGTGGCCAGTGTAGATGTGTTCTATGCTACTTTGTTGGATGGATCACTGTTCAAACTCAATCCTTTGATCCCGTTAACGTGGTTATCATTGCTCATGTTCTTAGCCATTACACTTCCCAATTATTTGCAACCCACAGGAATATCTGAATTGCTAATTGTAGCTCAGCAGCATATTACATTGCTACTGCCTGCCACAATGTTACAAATTCAGTTGCCCTTCTCATCTAACAGCTGGTCTGTGTTTATTATAATTTTGCAGCTATAGACTGCTGTACCCCAAACTGGCTACAGGCTTTACTGGGTCAGTTCCCTTCAACCCACTGGTTTTGTTTTGTACACGTTTTTATAGACTCAAATCAATGCTTTAGACATTTATTCTTTTCATTTTACACGGGAAAGCACAACGTGCCAACGATTAAGTACATCTGCTTAAAGCCGCCTTTCTATTTCCTCCTGTGGCCAGTGGACATTCGCTTGCTTCAGTTAAAATTAATCATTAGTAAATGTATGGGAAAGAGTAGCAAAGAGATATATTCATAAAACTAATTACGTTTGAAGGACCTGCCCTTAAGAAGAACCTCAAAGAGCAGCAACAACATACTCTTAGGCCTATGTTCTGAAAGATTCCCAGAGAATAGTAATAATTATATATTTAATACATTTGGCAGTGCTCTTTAGCCAAAATGGTGCCAGACAAGTTTGCAAATGGCAGAAGTAAAACATTTGCCGCACCACCCATGAAAATGAAGAGACCACTCACATGACTGGGTTAAATAAGGGAAACTTTTGTTATTGTTACCCAATTAGAAATCAATAATTCCACACCACCACCACCACTGTAATAACCAAGCACACTCTACCCTTGGCCATGAACTTGGTCATGAACTTGACCCTGAACTTGGCAATGAATTTGGCGAATTATTAATGCACCGGGACTGTGGCGCAGCTGTCTGAGTGTCAGCTGCATTAAGACCACTTCTGACCAAAAGGTCATGAGTTCAAAGCCAGCCCAGGTCGGAGTGAGCTTCCGACCAATTGTGTAGCTTGTTGTTGACCTTTGCAACCCGAAAGACAGTTGCGTCTGTCAAGCAGGAAAATTAGGTACCACCTATGTGTGGGGAGGCAAATTTAACTAATTTATGAGGCCATAAAAAAGACTCCAGCAAAGCACTCCAGCAAAACCATGTGGGGAATGCGGAAGTACTTCATCAGTGTTGCAGATGGACGATGAAAGCGACAGCTCCCCTGGTGGCCAGAAAAGTTAAATAGCCTCTGACGTCTGTCTGTATCTGTTGTGTGTCTCTGGCACTGAATGTTTGCCATATATGTGTACATTGTAATCCACCCTGAGTCCCCTGCAGGGTGAGAAGGGCGGAATATAAATACTGTAAATAAAATAAATAAATATTTCTAACTCCCAGGCCCTGCTCTCTTTTATTTACATCATAGGGCCAGGTTGCTGGCCTATCAAATGGGTGCATTGGCTATGTACCAAATTCAATTCCCTCGCTGTTTCCAGGTATGCTTGTTTAATGGCCCTACCTCCAAATTTGCCCTGCTGCAACAGTATAGGGTAGGCGAAAAACCCACCCCCACACTGGAGGGAAAAAAAATCTACCCGGCCCCCCAAAGGGCCACCACTTCAGTTATACTGTTAATGGGCGGGAAGGTTGGATTTTGCAGTCCAGGAACTGCTATGGCTCCGCCCTCCCACCTCTTGTGCGGAGGAGGCGGGGAAAAAACCCCTCACCCCAGTTTCGCTGGGGCGAGAAAGGCCCTTTCCTGCTTTTGTCTCAACCAGAAAGACATTACAGGCAAGAGAAAACACATGATGTGGGATGAAAAGAAGATTAAACTCAAGCAACAGTTGTTAAAGTTACAGCTTAGTTTATCTTGATCGAATGGCTGCAATAGCCAAAGGCACTAGGTTTCTAGCCAGAGCCTACACAATTATTCTGCTTCTCTCTTCTCCCTTTGTTCCACCACAGCTTGAAAACAATTCATTAGCTAAAATTAATAATTAATTCACCCCAAATGCTGAAATGTTAAACATTGTATAGAAAATGTTGTTTTAATCAAGGATTTCAAAAAAGATTTTTAGTACAACTATTAACATTTACAATCTCTTAATTATTTGGAAACAAGATTTTGGAGCCATTTCAAAACTACTTCACCATTAACAGTCTAAATAAATGGAAGCAATTAACTGCCATGACTCAATCTCTGGAATTCAGGGAGTTGTATTCCAGTAAGACTACAGCACTATTTGGAAAAGGAAGCTAAAGACCTTGTAAAACTACAACCCTCAAGATTCTACAGCAATGGTGACAAACTGCATTACTTCTACAAGGTAAATATACCCCAAGTGACATTTCCCTTGGAGCAGACTCAGACAGTCACCAAAGTTTTGCCATTGTGATGAGGAAGTAACAAAGAACTGCTCTGCTTCTTTATTTAGACTGGAAAACAAGAGGAAATGCTTTAGGGTCTGACTTTCATAGTTCTATTAAAACAGTGCTATTTAATATATACATTATGTGACAGAGTGATTGCCCACAACTTGGGGCCAGGTGTCACTCATATGCTGATGATAATAACCAGCTGTCTCTTCTCCTTTCTACCTCAATTCAAAGGAACTGACTCTTGCCCTAAACCAGTGCCAGTTGACAGTAATGGACTGGATCAAAGTGAACAGATCAAAACTTCCACACAGCTGAATAAAATCCCACATTTTCTGCTCTGATCTGGAATATATGGCACTGTGGATTCAGATAACCCAGCTCAAAGTAGATATTGTGGGATTTTCTGCAATGATATTTTGGGTTATATGGCTGTGTGGAAGGGCCCCTAGTCCAAGTGAGGACCTCATCACAAGAAAGCGGGAAAGTGAAGAAAAGCAAAGGGAACTTCCTTCTTTCATTCCCTCCCCTCAGGTCCCATGCCTTTCCATGTTCAAGGATGGCTGCCATCCCACATCCTTTCCCAGCTTCTACCTGACTCTCTCCATTTTCTCCCCTTAGGAATTGGGTAGCATCTTACTCCTGATATGCAGTCTTCCCTCCTCTGTGCTGCTGCGATGGAGGCCCCATCCACAACTGGATTATATGGCAGTGTGGAGTCAGATAACCCAGTTCAAAGCAAATATTGTGGCTTATCTGTCTTGATATTCTGTGTGGAAGGGTCCGGAGTCCCATGGGGAACTACTGAAAATGGTCTTGCATTATGCAATGGCCTTCATGGGACTCCGTTTCAGTACCACAGAGAAA